CACACACACACACACACACAATAGCGCTGCACAGCAAAAACGCATAAAAAACGCATAAAAATCATGAATCGCACAAAAAGGCATAAAAATCATGAATCGCGTAAAAGCGCATAATCGCATTGGAAACTCTGGTGCGTCTTTACCTGGTTTCAGTAATCTTATGGCATTTACTGCTTTCAGTCATCACTGTAGATTCCCAAAAAAGCGTTGCAACGGGAAGAAATGTCGTACCATTTTTAGCGCATCGTTCAAAGCTGGGTTTGTATTGTGAAGCGCGGCTGATCAACTGAGGATATGTTCGACAACTTGTCAGGAAAGGGGGTTAACTGCAGGGTCCTCGAAGACATGAACTGGCGCAGGGTGTTAAAATTTTGAAAGTAGGTAGCCCAGTTAAAGCTAGCTGATTGCGTCAACTAATAAAAAACAAAAATTGTGCTTTTGATGTCGTTACAACGATTTTAACAAAGCTGTTAAATGATGCTTTGTGCGATTTCATCCAAACATTCATCCAGATATCTGGAAGCAGCTGCATCTAGATATCTAAATAGAAATGCGAGACATCAAAGATACCTAAATGGAAGTATTATGATCAGGACCAATTTCTTTTGTCTATTCAGGAGCATTCTTAATCCCGTATGTAATATCACTTGTATTCTGTGGAGCACCACTCTTCATTCTTGAAACAACATGGGGTCAGCTGCTAAGTGTTGGCGGACTTGGAATGTTCAAAATTTGTCCAATTTTCAAAGTAATCATTTTTTTTTATTAGTCTGTTTCTTAAACAACGATTGCTCACAACTGAATCTCCCTAACAAGGTTTTGATATTGTAAAGTGTTTCATAAAAAGAGCCAGCGATAAGGTCAAAGAAACTTAACTATTTTCAAGGGGGTCGGTATAGCAGCAGCAGTGATGGCATTTTGGCTCAACATCTACTACATTGTTGTGCTAAGCTGGGCGATGTGTTATCTGTGGAATTCGATACGACTTGATTCAAACGTTCCGTGGCGTAACTGCAATAATGAGTAAGTGCAGTGTTTTTCGGAAACTGAGAAAGGAAAAAGATGAATGGATTTCATTCAAAGTAAAAATTTCGCTTGCACTTCTTTCTCAGAGAGCACTTACACTGGTTCTACATCTTGGAAAGAAGTCGGCATTATTCTGGAATCTTGTTTGCACCATATTATATTATACTTACTGATAACTGTGCTCAGTGGCGCTTTAGTGAGAAGATCGTGAGTTCGACTCCGCCAGCTGGACAATAAATCCGTCTACAATTCTCCTATTCATTTTGACAGTAAATTGGCGCCGGCATGTGTCAGGGAGCTCAGCCTGCTATCAGCTTGCTCCTAAGCAACCCTCTAAAGAATTTATATGGATTTGCGGATTACGCTATGATTGTTAAATCCGTTCACCATGCTAGCGTCCATAGCCTTTGCTGTTTTAACCTCACTCCTAGTAACTATGTTTTAGATGGAATACCGCTCGTTGTCGAAGTGAATATGAACCACTAACGTGCGCAAATAACAGAACAATAGCAAAGTACTTCAATGTACAGGTGCATTTCACGTTTAGTTTGGAAAAATTATTGTTAGAGAGAGCCACAAACGACATAATCTTGGGCGGATGTTGTGAAAAATTGTTGCTGCTAGCAACCTCAGACTGCACTTGGCAGCCTTGTATTACTGGCTGCAGGTGGCTTATTTGCTTGTGCAGTAAAAATGATGATTATCGATAAAGAAAGGTGCCTTGACCCAGAGTATGAAAAACGCCAAAATTTCTCTTTCCTAGCTCATTCCGCTGCGGAGCTCTGCGGAATTGGAAATCTGATTTTCGGCCATTCGCTACTTCAACTAAAAGCCTGGAAAATTCGAAGGAAAGAAAAAGAAAGGAAAAAAG